CGTGCTTTGCCTTCCTTCCGCGCGGATTTGTTTCTCGACGATGTTAAAGTGCGGCGTCTGATCTTCGAATTCATGAGATTTGAAACTGGATATTGGACGAGAGTGATAATTTTGACGAGAGGTTTCACGTTTTTATGATTGGAATCACGCGCGACTGATGATTAACGATTATTGATCCGTGTTTGAATGTGTGTCTGTGTTCGATCTGTACCTCATTTTGGTATTAATTCAAAATTAATGCCGCAGATATCAATCTCTGTATAGATAGGAATATTGATTGAAGAGTTAAGTGGTTTAAAATTGTTAATCATACGAAATGACGAAATAGTTATACTTTCCACTGTTTGTCGTCCCTTTAATTGTAACAAATTGAACAAATTTTATTTGAAATACGGATAAAAGATAACAATTTCGAATAATAGGTTACTTCGATTATTTTATTGTCTGTTTTTTTAGTAATAAGAAAAATAAATTTATACTTAAATTTCATTCGAGTAAAATAATCTTGTAATATGAAGAATAGAATAAAATCAAAAACTATATAAAAAAAAAACATGATTATTTAAATAATCATAATTAAAGTATCTTAATTTAAACAAATATATCTAAAAATTAACAAAATTTTACATTACCTCTGATATTAATTTTAGGCAATTCAGGCGAGAAATGCTGTATTTATCGATGCAATTGGATTACAAGCCAATTATGGGATGTTGAGAGTTTCCACGTGTAGTTGCATATAGATAGATATAGGTCAGCTATGTAAACCAACGTTATGGAATCCGATCGAAATTCGATTTTTAAAGGAGGAAACGTATATGTAGATTTCCACGCTTTTGTTTTTATTCCTGTGACTTTTTTTTGCGACATGCTTTGCAGGGGAAATTCTCTCAAGAATATTTAATGAAATGCATCGCGTTTCTTCCCAATGAGAATCGGGCACGAAACAGTACGTCTATAGGGAATTGCACGATTCAAAGGGTCACTTTAATGTTTCTTTCGATTACATTAAGCAGAGAACAGTCTTTGTTTCTCCATGTTTCGCGTTGCGCATCTTCATTTTTTAATATTGCTGCAGATTAAATTTCAAACTAGGTCACCGAGATAAATTTATATTTAATTTTATCTCATGACAAGTAGATATTTTTAGATATTTGAATATAAAAAAATCTTTAATGAACGAAATTTAAATATCAAAGTATAATATATCGAATGATACGATAAATATATTAATAATAATTTCATCAATTGCGCCAATATTCAATTAAAAATTTTATCATATTTAATTAATTGATATTTAATTAATTAATACATTTGCTTTGTAGAAAAAAAATTCCTCAATCATTAAAATTTTAATAATGTATCTATCGTACTTCTATATTAAAATATCATTATTCAATGAAGAAAAAAGTTTCGTGTCGTTTATTATCTCTTCTGCTTAGCTTAAATCAATCTAAATAAATTATTATAGATATTTACAATAAAATAAAGTATCATTTCATAAGTTTAAATTAAAACCAAAAATTATACAATTTCAATTACAAGTGATACAAGATAATACAAATTTAACAATATACATCATTAAAAAGCAAAATTTAATATTACCAATTATCATTTATATAATAATTTAACGTCATTCAATATTGAATCAACAAATTTGATATCATTCGCTACCAAATTCGATATTATTAAATCCTATGCCAATAAAAAAATAATACGTTCGATCGAACATGTACTCCCTCTCTAAATATTTTCTACAAAAATATTCAATACTTCCAAAATTGCCTTAGATAGAGATAAGTAAGTGCACACGACGCTCAAATCGACCGTCTACGTACACAGAGAGGAGGATCCAAGTGAGAGCGACCTTAAACCAGCCCCGTCACGTCGCCGGATCTTGGAGACACCTTTAACCTTGACCTTGTCGCTGTTGCGCTAGCAAAATGCTCGGCTGCCTCGACATTCAGCTCGCTACTTGCCAACCTTTTCGATCATACCCGCGACCCAGTGCTCGTTCTAGCCTACTTATATACCACGGTTTCCACGTGTGTCGATCCGACAGAGACAGAGGAGAAGGATGCACGATCAGTTCGGGGTGTATTCCACTCGACGAAACTGTGCACTGTGGGTATCGAGCTTTTTTCCCTCCCTCTTGTTACAAATGGAAAATCGTAAACTATACCGTTCCCTTTACGGTCGATAACAACGCGATAATTAAACGGACCCGGCTATTCGTAACAACGTTTCGTCCGGTTGAAACGAAAATGGAAATTGGTTGCTACGTTACCGTGTGTAGCTTCTTTCGTTGGAAAAATGGAGGAACGGTATAACGAACGACCGTAATTACCGGATGTAAGCTGCCATTTCAATTATTCCTCCGTGTATCGAGGAATTCGCGATAATCTCTTCCCTTCCTCTCTCCTCCCTCCCTTTTTTCCAACTTCGACTTTTCTTTGTTTTTTTTCTTCTTGGATTTCGAACGATTGAAAAGGGGGATAATCACGTTTCCCTTATGAACGTATCGGGGGAAGGTAATATAATTTCTTTATAATTGATTTCACGCTTCGTTTCGCGTGTCGGTTAACCGGATAAAATACTTGGCGAATGAATGATTAAACGAATATTGTCCGCTCGCTATGTCAAGAGGATCATGATATAACGATTTTTCATGTTACATATGTTCCTTTCTCTGTTTTTCGAAAGGTGGCATGGACAAGTTTGCGTCGAGGGGTGTAGAACGTGCGGTAATAAATTTGATATTAAATCTCGGTATTC